GCCCCGCCCGCCCCTCCGCCGCCCAGCCACGGGCCTAGGTGTGCTAGAGACATCTGTAACACAATCTTACCATCAAACTCGATAAAATTTACTAGAACATAAGGCAACTTGTGATACCAGAAATGTGTACTTGACAACTCCGCAATGGTTCAAACACCTTATTGAAATTTGGCACAGATATAGGACATAGTCTCGGGTTGTTACTTAACACTAAATTCTGTATCTGAAGAAACAAAATACTTTTTTTAACACTGCAAAGACAATGGGGGGCAAAATCTAGTAAAAATATACATAGCAAGTCGGTTATTTATCCTCTTCTCAACCAAATTGACTTCCCCTTCCCATTTCTTTCTTTATGTTTTACTTGTATGCTGTAATTTGACATGTAAAATGATAAATCCGAGTTAAAGAACATGGTATGGTTTATTTTCTAAAACTTACAGGGTTTAGTGTCCAACTATTTTATTAGGTTTGTAAAAAAATTGATCAATAAAGTGTATGGCTATGTTATGCAATTCTATGTGCAAAATCACTCATGATAATTTTTGTGAAGCAACTATTACTTCATTGTTTCACAATGTATGTAATGCGTAAAGAACTTTAAAGGTGTAATACCGACGGTTTGGGCTACTAGAATGTATGATTCTTAGGGTCATCATAAATTATTATTGTCTCCCTATCTATTCTTAAAATAAATAAGACAAAATAAATATTGCACCTGTTCAATGAATGAAGTTCCATATTTCCGAAAATACCACCACTCGAAGATTAGAATAAGTCCAGAAATAAGAGACGAAGTGCCAGTGAGTGCAACATAGAATTTAGGAGTTAGTGCACTTAAAAATGTTGAACTATCCCACATTATCGTACTTTATTGAGCCTTAAGTACAACAAACTTGCTCATCTATATAATTGTATGTTTTACACCAAGTATATACTTAGTCTTATATATTTCTTTAATTATATTAATTAACAATTACTACAGTACTTCATAAGATCATTCAATAAATAAGTTAGTAAACATAAAGATAAGGACAACACAATTCGACAAACATTACACCGCTTCAACTATCATCTGTCATCGGTCACAGTGCATGTCACTGTCATCTCGAACCGTAAGTTTTACTTTAATGTTCAGTAAAGAATATACAGTTAAAACTAAATGTTTCTGCTAGCTTCATAGGCTAAATAAATCTTTTGGATCCTTCAAGAAAACACTAACAATATGATGAGCACCATTTTAATCAGAGAATCTGTATATGGAAATCTATTTTGTTGTGGCTGTAAATTTTATTTACTCTTTTTTGTTTTGTTTTACACACTCTTTGATGTCATGTGTCATGCATTTTGACTTGTCATCATTGTCATTCCAAAAAGATGTGACCAAAAGGTCTATGTTACCAGGACATAAAATTAAAAAAAAAAGCATTTGTCATTGTCAATGTCAGTTGATTTTGTGAATTTGATTTTGCTTTGCGATTGCGAGGTGATTTACGTAACACACTACGAAGGAAAAACACATTTTTAAAAATGCTGGCTCGATTGGGAAGACGACAAGCCGAAATGGTGGCATCCTTTGTACCTTCGGCTATAGCTTTTGGAGGAGCAGGATTTTGTGGCCTCCTATATTTCACGGATTGGAAAGTGTTCGTGACTTACATACCCTTCTACGGTGGCAAGTTTAAAGATCAGAAGACGGAATAATTTGTTACTGTATTTGTCTGTCATCTGTGTTAATTATGTTGTAATTATAAGCTTGTAGTCCTTTTCAGTGATTTTATTTATGTAACCTCATTGTGCTTTTGGATATGATAGCATACAATGGGTATGTTTTAAACATTGAGTGTCGTCTTCTTGAAGCACTTCTATGACTAGCAGAGGTTTGCAGGCATTTCCTCATATTTGATTGACACTCAAGAGTAAGTACCCAATTTAAAGGTATATCAAGAGTTATTAAATAGGGAGAAAATCTAAAAGCCCTAAGTAGGTGGTGGCAGCGCCAACACCAAGTTCTTGGTATTGTCTGTCTATGTTTCATTTGTCACTCTTGCAGTTTTTTAAAAATAATAAAAGTGTATTTCTTATTGACTCATATATAAAGACCTCTGAAGCTGGATGGAAACATTTATGTGGTAATTTATGAACCATCTAAAAAAAAAAGATATTTTAAATTTTGTACGAGATTAGTTGGTGTACTCTGAATTAGAACTGATTAGGTTTCAGTTGACCACTTTTGAATTTCTTAACATCTGCCAATCTTCAGATATTTATGTAGTTTCCTCTTAAATGTAAACCTCATTTAATTCACCGCTCCCTTGCCTCAAATCCGGTAAACTTGAGAAGCCTCTACTACACACACAGTGACAATAAACACACTATGGCTTTAACTATGATGCTCTTATAATTATTGAAGGAACATTTCTGAGACCCAAAGGTATTGAAAGATTCATTAGATATAAGATTTTTATTCAACATCATTGTAACATTATGTACTACTTACTTATGTAATAAACTAGGCTATGTTTTGTGCATATCTGTTGAGGATCCAGTCGTTATGTCCTGGTATTAAAATGGTATGAGTATGCAGAGCATGAAGTGTGTGGCTCCTGGCCACATCTATACACACAATGCCAGTTTAGTACACCACAGCTAAGTCAAACTCAATTATTTTTTCTTTCATTGAAGATGTGCGGTCGTCCCCAAATGATGCTTGGACAAGCCTCGTAATGGGGCTCATAATGAAGGAGCGTTTCGATATACATTGCCCCTCACCACCCGGTACCTGCCCCATCTCACATTACAAAGAGCAAAGCTCATTGTACACTTTTCCAAAAATAAATGAAAACATCAAAAAAAAATACATTTAGCAACTTGTTACAATTCTACGCTTGCTTTATTGGTTTCTAAACCATTCAGTGAATAAACGAGAAGAGTGTTGTAGAATGATCAGCGGTCGGCGGTCCTCTCAACCGCGCCTCTCACTTTGGCTTCAGCTTCGGTGATGTCGTGGATCCGACGACCGCCCCGGCAGCGTCTACGTGTACAGACATATCCAATGATGTGGAAATGAGTCGTCAGCGTGCCTCCAGAACCAACTTAAGGAGGGTGGCGCCAAAATTCTCCATACATTAACGAACGTCCCCTTATTTCTTTGCAGGTAACACGGTCGAGGCACACTTTGTTTTACGTCGCGATAAATTCGCTAGGTATTTTATTTAATTTTACACAATATGTGCGGCATTTTTTAAGGACGGCTAGACGTGACGTAATAACAGAATAATTAATGAGGCCCTTCTTTAGGCGTATTCGATTTATTATATCTAATGCGTAATCGACGACTCGTTTTGTAGAAGACTAGAAGTCCGGGAAATATTGCAACACTTTGAACATAATATACAATATGTTAAACATTGTGTCGAGGTGATAGGAAGGTGGGGGGGGGGGTCTAGAAGCGCAGCTCGTTGTCTCCGCTACCCGCCTCGTCCTCGTCATCTGCAGGCCCAGCCTCCCCCTCTTCCCCCGCCACCGCGCGCTCCTCTGCAACACAACAGAAACATTCAGACTTCAGGCTGAACTCGGTTTGTGGTATTACTTAGGTTCAGCTCTAAATTTGGCTCACAATGTTAGTAATAGTATAACAATGAACGGCGAGAGCGACGACGGAAGTCATACTATTTCCGGATCCCTCTCGACTCGTTTCGGTTTTATATTTTAAAGGAGTAAACAGTAGCAACAGTCGACTTTTTGTTCTTTGTTTAATAAGATTTCTGTGTCGAGTTCACATTATCGCGATGCGGAGCGTATGAGAGGTAGAGAGCGGCGGACGCACCGGGGCAGGCGGTGCGGCCCTTGGTGCGCGATGCGGGCAGCTCCACTCCGTGCGCGTCCACGCACCAGCAGACGCCGAGCGCGGCGTGACACTGTCGCGCCCGGTAGAAGCCGCGCGCGTCGCACGCCGGCACGTACGCGCCTGCGACACGACCCTCGCTCACTTCACGTCCACGTCCAGGTCACGGCTCGCGCGCTTTAGCAAAACGCCAGCCGTGATACGCCACTACTGATACTTTACACTTTCATCATGTTATATTTTTTTAAAATAAAAGCATCAGGCGAAAGATGTTCAGTAGCGATCGTGTCCTCACCCGGGCCGGGGTTCGGGTGCGCTCGAGCGAGCGCGGCGCAGGGCCGAGCGGCGCGCCGCAGACACCCGCACCACGCCGCGCGCGTCAGACTGCCCCGCCCGCCGCCCCGCCCGCCGCCCCGCCCGCCGCCGGAGCGGCCGCACGCCGCCAGGAAGGGCCGCAGGCAGCGCTCGCGCTCGTCGTGACCTGCACCACGCCGCACGCTCACAACACTACCGACCTCCTCTCTCTGCCGATCCACCGATCGACGGGTGGATCGGCCGAAGCTCTCGAAAGATGTAAACGAAAAGTACTTTAGAATTAGTAAAAATATAATATAATAATAACAACAGTGGTTTTATATAATAATAGTAATGAAAGCTTTAGTGAGCAAGCGTCGGCGGTGACGCGAGGACGCGAGGTCGCTGGAGAGCGCCGGGTACTCACGCAGCGCGTACAGGTCCTCGCGCGACAGCAGCCCGTCGCCCGCCGCGTCCAGGTGCGCGAACATCCAGCGCACCTCCGGCTTGCAGTCCCGCGGGAACCCTGCCGACACAAGCGCCCTCGTCAGCCCTCGCCTCCTCTCTGCACCCCCACACCCACACCCCCACACGCACCGCGCGCCGCCGCCCCGCCCGCCGCGCCGCCCGCCTGCTCCATCAGCACGGAGAACCAGTCCAGCAGCCGGTCCGCCATCCGGTCCAGCTCGCAGCCCGCAGACCCTGACACGACCCACGCCGGTCACATGCAAAGAGAGGGCCAGTAGCGGCGTAAGATAAGGCGAGGTGGGCCGACCGCCCAGGGCGCCGGACATAAAGTTTACTACAAAACTGAAAACATTGTGGGATATTAAAGGGCTCTCTTACCTCGCCCTGATAATGTAATATGTGAATTGTACTATTTATTGAATCTGTTTGTAATCTCACTAGCCGGTCGGTCATATTGTAAATTGCCTGCAAATCGAGAACAAATAGTGAATTGCGAGCGCCGCGCACACACACCTCTAGCGCCGCGCCGGGCCCCCTCCGCCCCGCCCCCGCCCCCCATCTCGTGCTGCAACATTAACACAACATCAAACTTAGAGAAGAAACTTGCTCTGCGAATATTTACACATTTAAAAAATAGACTTAATTTATTTATCTACTATTTCTATTACAAAGTGTTCCAAATAATTTAACCATAAAACATTTTATTAGAGCGCCTCAAGAACGTTTACGTCGCGACACGCGGCCGGCTTGCTATTGTTGAGCGCACATATGTTCGCATGTCGAACTATTCCACACAAATTCGAGCTGTGAAATGGCCCAGCTCAAGTCGTACTCATTATGTCGTCTCGTAATGGCCGACGGAGTGCTGCACTCGCCCCGCGCTTTGTTCACGCTTTTAGACCACTTACAAAGCACAAGTGCAACTTGGGAATTGCATCAAAGTTTTCAATGCACTGTTAAGTTTTATTCGAGTGCTTACGGAACCAAAAAAAACACGTTACATATGCCGGTAGCAAAACACAGCTTAGTGATAAGAAATATTACATTAAATTAAGAAGTCGTAGCATCAAAAGAAAACACTCTGACAAAATGACTGTTGGTACTCAGGTAAAACCCTAAGGGCCATCGTTTACTCAAATGAAGTTGTGTAGGTGGCGGCAGTGACCTGGCGGTAGCGCGCGGCGGGCGCGGCGGGCGCGACGGGCGCGGGGGGCTCGCGGCACGGACAGAAGCCGCGGCAGGCGAGCCGCACGGCCGCGCGCCGCACGCAGTTGTGCAGGTCGAGCCGGCACAGCGACGAGTACGTGCGGTTATCTGAGCCGCACACGAACTGCGCGCCCTCCCCCGCCTCCGCCTCCGCTTCCGAGCCGCACCCTACGCACCTGCAAATTAAGTCCACGTCTGGCTGCACTCTACTCTCAAAACTGAAGTCTACTACTACGAGGTCGGCGGGGCACTCACCGTGCCGGCGGCCGGTCGGGACGCCGGGCGGGTCGCGGGGTCTCCGCCTCGGACTCGGGCGCGGCTTCCTCCTCGTAGAACACGTCGTCTTCGCCGTCGATTCGCTCTCGTCGCGCCGCCACTATCGTGTCTCTAAATACATAGCGGGTTCTAGTATTTATGATATCTATCATACGCCTATCCTTTAAAATTGTTTTTAAAAGTGCAGAAACATGCAATTTGGCCGTCCACGCTCACCCTCTTCGCAGGACGTCCTTCTTGGAGGCGCATTGCGCGGTGAACGCGTCTCGCAGCAAGCACACCTCGCGTTTCTTGCACACCAGCTCGTGACACAGAGGACCTGCAATACGAGCCCGTCATTGCCGCTGCCCTCGTCTCCCCGCTCCCGTCCCCGCTACCTGCGAGCGGGCGGGAGGAGGGCAGCACTTACTTTGCGGGTCGTAGATGTATCGGCGCGGGCGTCGCGAACGCACCGTTTGCACATCCTGAAATACAGTATTTAGTTGATCAATACGGATTACGGAAACAATTAACTATGTATACAGATGTAAGTATAACCACTTTTTTTAACAAAATGTGAAATCGATTAAACGTTTTCTCCAAGCTATAACCCAATTTTAAAGTGAGTGATACAAGTCTGGTTCCTAAATCTGTAGTTCGGCGTTCAAATCTAACACAATTTGAACAGAACGCCAAGAATGGAGGTTAGATTAATGGCTGTAGTGTTAGAAGTAGACTAAAGGAGGATAAATCTAAAATAGTCGTATAGTGAAACCAGGTTTTTTTCAGGTTTTCGGGCAGCCAAAATAACTAGTGCCTTAAGTCTTCTTCTGACTGATGTAGTGCTAAAAGCCAGGTAGTGGCCGATTTATAAGCGAAATACTAGCGCTTAATTGGTCATCCCTCTTTGATATGCACATTCTCTTAGTGCATTGATTCATCGTCATCGGTTAATGCTCCCGATATCACTGGTAAAGTATCTCAGAGATCAATAGCTTAATCCATTATTCCAAATTATGGATCCATTTCTTACCAATTTTTTTTAAAGAACAACCGATTTGAAGTTTATATGACAAGAATTGTGTATTATAAGTTACTTAAATACGTTATATATAGAGCACTTGTATGACCACAGTGTTGTTGCTCGACTCGACACTGGCCTAATCCTAAAATTGAAGTGCTATTTAAATCGGTGCAAAAACGGCCATTGACATCAAAAACATATTTTCATGATGTTTTTTTTTCTAGATTTATTTATATTGGGTATTTAAAAGCCAAGTATGTCTTCAGTTATATAATCATTCAAAGTTATAGCTCAGTTAGTTTATAAAGACTCTCATCCGCGCGCTTGTCACTTGACTTTTCTTTGTTTCATGTACTTAATGCATTGGAACATCGCGTAGTTAGTAGCTAGGGCCATAGGGCCCTGTATATGTTCTGTTTTCTGATTAATTTTTACAATAGTTAATAAATTGACTTGCGACAACGCAACATGGGTATATATGTAAGATAACAGTGAAATCCGACTAGGGCCTGGGCGGAGACGTAGGGGTACAATAATATCGAAGCCTTCGAAACGGCGGGATAGACAGAGGTCGGCAGGTCGCGCGAGGCTGCGGCGCCTACCGGGGCGTCCTCGAATTCGAAGTCGGTGTCGGTGCGTCGCTCGCAGGCCGCCAGCGCCAGCACGGCCGCCGCCGCAACCGCCCACGCGCCGCGCATTGCACCTCGGCACCAACACGCGCTCACACCGCTCGGGAACACGCGACCGCTTGGGACTCCGGCCGCCGCACTACTGCCGCGCCGTGCCGCGCCACGCGTCCCGCGTCCCGCGTCCCGCGCCCCGCGCCCGGCGCCGCGCAGCCTAACCCCTCGACCTCGGACAAAAAGACCGCGACCACGCACCACACCTTCACACTGGATTATTTTCTATATCTAACTATAATAGATAAAAGAATTCAAACAACAATAAAAACATCAAATGTAACAACGTATACCTACGCTGCTACTATGCTGCAATATTACTTGTACTGACAAAAGTTATACCTACCTACACAATACAATAATTTTCTAAGGACCAGCCTCAACTTCGCCCTTGTGGAAAATAATGTACCTACTACGCTTACGTCTGATCTCTTCTATAGTATCAGTAGTACCCTTGCCGGTGGTGTCCTGTCTATAAGTAAAAACTTTGCAATAAGGACTGCGCCCGGCCTAAAGCCGTTATTCGATTACGCTTTTTCGATCGACGAGATCCAGATATCTCTAAATCTTTGTCAAAATCATAAAATACTATAAAAGGTAATTTTGAACAACATTATATTCTCCTGATAACTATCACATTTATTTGAATAAGGATTAATACTAAAACAAAATAAAATGAAGTGCCGCACATAACGTCCGGTTTTTTTTAATTGATTTTTTTTAAGCAAAAAGTGGTTATTGCAAGAAAATAGTAAAAAAAAATACATACTATGCCACAGGCTGACTTTTTTGTAACACTTTTTGAGATCTACATATTTGTACTTCAGTACTTCAGTCGGGTGGCATAAGTTGAGCTTTATTACTTGAGCGTTAACAATTTAATATGTAGTACTAGTATATAAGTATTATGGAATGCAACATTTTTGCTAAGAACTGAGCAGATTCGGACAACGTCATTTGTTTTTGGAACCGCAACCGTAACTTTAATATACGCATTTGTAAGTAGCTGTCGCCCGCGACTCCGTCCACGCGGAGTTATAAAAACCTTCATGTTATGAGTGCCTATGTGTTCTTCCAAACCACGTTCTACATCTATGCCTAATTTCAGCGAGATCCGTTGGGCCTTTCCGGAGATACCTTCAAACAAACATCCATCCATCCATACATCTAAACATTCGCATTTATAATATTAATAGGATTAACATATTAAATGGGATTATTTTTCGCAGGCGGTACGTCGTGCCTCGCGCCGCGTGTGTGTTGCAGCGGTACCCCGCGCCTCCCTGCCGCCCCGCCGCCCCGCGTGCGGTCGATACTGTCCCCGCACAGCCTCCCGACCCCTCCCTCGCCCCCGACCACGGCTTTATATGTAAGTGTACAGTACTTACGACAAGTGCTTTCAGTAAATGTTTACATACAATAAATATTTACAATGCGCGATTGCTGAGCAATTGCGAATGAAAAGGAAACCCTGCGTTATTATTATAAGCACGTATTGTCGTCTCCCTTATTCTTGGTGAATAAAACTAAGATGAGCATAAGTTCAGTGCGGAGTACTTTTAATGGTATAATTACTGAAATAATCCTTACTAATATTATAAAAGCGAAAGTAACTGTCTGTCTGTCTGTCTGTTTGTTTGTCCGATATCAAGTAATCAATAAAACAAGGGGATTTATGTATTGTCACACAATTTACTCATGATCCTTATGCTATTTTTTTACAATATCCTTATATGTATATATATACTATATTATTATTATAAATAAAACCACAACGCTATTGATGGTTTTGTTTGCGAAACAATTTTTGTACATTTTAATTTTAAACAACTACCAAATACCGCTTTTATATAATTATATTATTAACAATGATTTGATTGAAAGATAGTATCACACTTTTTATGAATTGAAGCGCATTAGATAAACAAAATAGGATGAGAAGAATGTCACGTCGCAGTCGCGGCAGGCACGCGGCAGG